AGCATCTGTCTTTTTCATTATCCTACACATAAAATAAACTGTAAGAAAGTTGTGTCAGTAGGGCAAACAAATTTTCACACAGTGTTGGAGCATTTCACATTTTCTCTGTGATGAATTCAGCATTTGTTATGACGGAATTCCCTTCTTATAACAACTGGGGTGTGATAAGAAAATGTGCACATTTAGAAGATGGAGGAAGACGAAGACGTCCTGGTGAGCTGATATACAGCTGACAAGCTCATAGATAGAAAAATGAAAGATTCATTTAGAAAAAAAATCAAATATCAGCTTAAAATAACACAAGAAATTGCATGGCTTGCTCTTCTCCATGCACCACACAAGAATGTAAAGTAAAATGTCTGCGCATGACTAGATAGACACTACATTTAGCCTCATCTGTATTACTTTAGATGAACGCTGCAGAAATTGAACTACTGTTCTGACAGTCACACTCAAGAGTAAAACGGTGTATGTTTGTCATAAAAATACTTCCAAATGCTGGCCAAATTGATAATAAGACTGCAGTTACAATTACAGTTCTTTATATCAATAACGAAACATAATACCTGGATTGTGTAATGAAAATGTTGCTTGTAGAAACACGAAAAATAGAAAAACAACCGGAAGTTTAATTGAGTGTGAAAAGTGTTAAATTTTATCAAAACCAAAGTCATCATGGAACCGAAAATAAGATAAAATAAAGATATGAGAATACTCAAAGGAAAATGAGAATCAGTATGACGAGATCTGAGATAATTACTGGTAGAAAAACTCATGTTTGCGGATGTTTATTTTAACAAACAATAAAGATTCATGGTATAGTCAAACTCTGTCAGGCTGTTGGAATTAAAAAACTCCTTTTCTTCTAATGTTATTGATCAATAATTATAAACTGTGCTGCAAACATAATATTAAGATACTGAAGGATTTTGGTTGTATTGTGTTCTCTGAGTTGGGTTGTTTAATCAGTGATTAACAATCAAAAGGCAAAACTAGAAAGCATACTCAAGACACAACCCATGACAACGCTGACAACTGCAATTGAATAATCAAGCAGACTATACAAACAACAACGACGAAACGTCCTTAGGAAAAAGCTGCTCAAAATCTCAGAAGCACCTTCAACCGATGATACAAACTGTTGCGTTGGCAAAAAACCACTCACAAAAATGGAAGAACTTCTTCTTCAAAAAGGATTGAATTACAGCACTAGAGACGCCAAAAAACCAGAATTCTTTGCAGCATTAGAATCCTCACTTAAATGAGGTCACTCAACAAAAAATATGGCAAAACAATCGTACCACTGACCAGGCAAATGAAACATCACGCTCAAAAGAACACCCAAGAACAGAAAATATCAAAAAGGCTGGAAAATAGGAAAAACATTGTTATATTTCCAGCAGACAAGGGACCCACTACAGTAGTCATGGACAAAGAAGACTACTTCAGGAAAGCAGAGGAATTACTCAAAGATGAAAGTGTATATCAACCACTTTGAAACCAACCCTATCCAGAAGTTCGACAACCAGATCAATAAAGCCTTGAACAAACTCTTCAAAGCAGAATAAATAACAAAGCAAGACAAATGGAGAATGAAATCGAATGCACCTGTCCTTCCTTGGTCCTACGGCAGACCAAAAATACACAAACCAGACATCTCTCGACCAGCTGTCTCACTTCCAGGAACTCCAACATACTGCATATCAAGAGAACTTTCGAGAAAACTGAAACACATCATTCAGTCATGCGGACATTCCATCAAATCACCAACGGGATTCTAAGAAAAGATCAAAAACATTAACATAGAAAAGGACGAATCGATGGTATCCTTCGATGTCACAGCACTATACACATCCATCGAACCCCCAATTGACCTCTGATAACATACTTCCTATTCAACGGCAAGATATACAAACAGATGAAAGGAACTCCAATGGGATCACCGATATCCGGACTAATTGCAGAAGCAGTCATGCAGAGACTGTAAGCCATCATTCTACCGTTAATCAAACCAATAATTTGGATTCTCTGTGTGGGCGATACTTATGTCATCATTAAAAAGATGGTATAGAAAACACTCACTGTTTGATCAAAAACGTTTTTGATGACATCAAATTCACAATGAAGAAGAAGTCAAAGAACTAACTACAATTCCTGGATGTTTTAGTCAGTAGGACAAATGTCGGGAAGATGGAAACCCAAGTGTACAGGAAGCCAACACACACTGACCAAATCCTTAACTACGGTAGCGACAACCCAGCAACGCAGAAGATAAGTTACCTGCAGACTCTGTTCAAAAGAGCGAGAAAAATTGCAGTACAACAGCATCACGGAGAAATGAAGAAAATTACTTGATATCCACCCTAAAGAAGAACGGCTACCCACGAAACTTTATCAGAAGATGCCTATCCCGTGCATCATCAACTAACAAGTCATCGACTGAAATCAATAAACGCATCATCCTATCATACAAAAAGAATATATCTGAAATCATGACAAGATTACTGAGACCACTTCGTGGAGTTGGTGTGGCTCATAAACCAACAAATTCCCTCCAAACACTGTTATGCAGACCAAAGGATGCGAGAACCAAGGAAGACAAACCGAATATCATTTACAAAATCAACTTGCATAACTGTAGTCAACACCACATTAGGCAAAGTGGTCGCCCTCTTCAACTTCATCTACATGAACACCAATTGGCTATTAAATGTCACGACATTTCATCACTCATTTCAATGCATGTGGACAATTATGGACATGGATTCAATTTTGACAATGTATAAATTTCGGACGGAGAGAGGAAACACAAAGAATGTCAGAGAAATCCTAGAAGCTTGACATTTAGGTTAGCCAGCAGTCAATAGATGTATAGACATAGACCCAATCTATCAACCAATGAGAAAAAGGATAAACGATAGAAAGATCAGAGGTCAAGCAGAGGGTTAGCTAACAGGAAAATCTATAGTCAATGACACAACAATCAAAGGAAACAACCAATTATAGACTGCTTCGTCAAGGCAAGCTACTAAAACACTCACAGAGAGATACTGGCAGCTCACTTCATACTGAAGTTAGTGTTGATGATGTCGTTGAGAAGGACGATGAAAGCTTCACGATTAAACAACCCAGCTAAGAGAACACAATACAACCAAGACCATCCACCTGAGCAAGACAGTTTACAGCCCTCTCACACTTCTGTTAAACCATGTGTCTTGTCCTTGTGGTAGACTTGCTACAACTTTGATGTCTTATGAATTCGCTATTCCCTATATGGACTATTATAGAATGTGTCAATATTTCCCAGGCCTCCCGAAGAAATCTAGAATTCCCTGGAAGCTTTCACACCCAATCATAACATGCCAAAAACTTGCAAAAACCGAATGATCATGCACTTGAGATTCAGATTGGCTAAATGTATTTCTAGGACGGTGTAGAAAATAACAAAGCCGCTGAAAGATATAAATATTGTTACCTTCAGGACGAGTTTTACAACTTCCCAATGAACGTCTTGTTTCCGCTTTCAAACAATCGAGAGACGCCTGAAGGTGAAGCCTAAGTTTATTGTTCGAAAACCCGCCTACATATAAACATGTAACTAGGATATATTATAAACCGAGGATTTTTAACATGGTGTTGTATATAGTGCGGAAGCATGGTATCAAAACATTATACCATGATAACCACAATCTGCCACCTAAGGCCATCAGGTGATAAATGCTCCTGTTCTAACAACTCAGCTTATTGCCGCTTTATTCATTCTACCCCTTTCTCACTAAACAAAAGAAAGTTCAGTATGTAGCTTGAAGAGAGTTTACTCGTAAACAAAAGTAGGATGATGAATTCGATAGTGTGACTTTTACGACCGATTAATACTTAGCCAATATAAAGTTACAGTCTGGGCACTAAGAATATAATTAAATCTTAATTTGTTCAATAGGTGCATCACGGGATACTGTTAGGAGCACAATTAGTTGTTCACAACTATGTAAATGTAATCACATCACTTTCTGGTCTATTTTTTATAGTCCTACTGTTATTCTTCTGTCGACTATACTTAACATACCCAGAAAAGCTGTTAAATCATTCGTGTTACACGTATTAGGTATTGATCCTATCAACAAGGCGTAAGTTATCCATCTCCCTTAAACCAACCTTGGCAATTTTTTAAGATCGTCACTGTGTCTAATTGTGTCTACTGATTGTGTGCCACAAAATGCATTTCTTTGATTGAATTATTTTAATTCATTAAACAATATTGCCTCAGTATGTGAGACCAGCTTAAATCATGGGCTAACACAACATTTTACGCCGACAATATTCCATCAAATTCTTCCCTTTTTGTTTGTTTTAATCCTTCAGATATGTCTTCCAGAAGTATTGCGTACTCTGGTACTGTTTTGAAAGGTTTTCAAACTCTTGTTTCTCAAGTGAAGAACGAAACGAACAACAAACGTTATACTGGACGAAAATAGATACTTAAAAATACAACTTTTGTGCTGTTTGATTTAACAACCACCAGCATGATTTTGTAATCATCCACAGTCCGGTCTGGACACCAATGTTACACCTGCTACTCATTTCAATTTAATGCATTTAATGTCGCCATTATTGGCACTATTCATATGTGAAAATTATTTCTCTGCAAAAAATTGTGCGCGAAGAGTATCTGTTGAAACATTACACGCTGAAAATTCTATAGTGTATCATATATGTTGTTTAGAATAAAGGGATTATTATTATTATTATTCGATACATGTAACAAACGAGTTAAAATAAAACATCCAGCCAGTAAAATTGAAGACTAGTGTTGTTAAGTAGCACTTGACAAGTTCCAGTTTAAACTTAATTCTGCTTAAAACGCATAAGAATTTTTTTACTTTAATGAGTCTAGAATGATTCCCCTCAAAGCTGTCAGACTATACAAAAAATTAGTAATAGTCAATGATTTCACAGGAGACCAAAATATGCTTACTACTCATTTCAATGGTTTGACTTACCCATTAACTACAAAATCATTTTCATCGCCAATTTGTGGAGATGGTTGGTACCTTTCCCACATGACAGAATCATAGTTAATTGAGCTCCGGTGATACGAAACATCATCATAGAAGTTATCTTCTGTTATTTCAGCATACTGTAAAGTGTAATTTGTCACTGGAGATGTATAAATAAATGCAGAATCATATTCACTTGTTTGATTCGTTTGCAGGTGGCGTAGATAGTTTGGCCAGGCCAAATGTACTGATGTAGATGGACAAACTGTGTTATGTTTCTGCCTGTTTATTGAGGGACTGTCTAATAGCCTTACTTTGGGTGGATCGGGAGGTAGCTTAGGCGCTGTTCGAGAATTTCCGACAGCCGTTATGTAAACCTGAAAGGAATAACTTGAGATTATGTTTAACCGCCAATAAATAGTGAAAAATATCACCAAAAATGTAAAATATTTTACTGATCCGAAATGACTCGCTGAAACTATCGCGAACAATTGAATATATACTAGTTATTTGTTCTCTCTTGTTTAGTTATTCTAGAAAATCATTTGAGTTAGTTATTTGCAGTTAAACATAAATATAAATTTACATTCCTTAAAATATTTATTGCTACAAGTCATTGCTTCACAATGTGTAACTAAGTACACCTGGTAAACAGTCAACGGCAATTAAGGCTGAAAAGCATCATATGACTCTTCACTCAGTGAAGCAGAAATGCATGTGGAAAGTGGCCAATTTCAGGTTGCAAATCTTTTGGTTGAGACAGCCCCATTATTAGACTGAAAAACCGATATATGGATGGATGAAAGGGAATTTGTCCTTTTAACAACCATATAATGAAAGCTGTTTTGGTAATTTGGCCTCTTTTTCTGACTACAGTAAAGAGATATAGTGGACTATAAATACTCTACTTAAAAGATGTTTAACTTTTTAATCATTTCAAATAAATAGAGAATACATCTTAATCTAGTCGTGGAATGACTAATATCTGACTATTTATTCGGTTCAGTTTGGGAACTCCAACACCCGAATGACCAATATTAAAATCAACTTCCCTTGGGATTGAAAAGTAAACTGACATAAAAACACCAGGCATCATTCCCTGCATAAAATAACGCTGAATTCACTCACCAATAATTCTGTTTTCTTTAAACATCCCTCTGAGCTATATGCTGAAACGTTTATGGTTTGATTTGGATCGGTTTCAATTAGCTGAAATAAATAAGTTGCATCCATCAATAACTCATCGATAGCAATTAAGTATTCTGAATACTGTTGTCTTATTGCTGCAGTTGTTTCGATGGTGGTAGTTGCGGTGGCTGTTTTCGGTGTTATAAATGCATCATTCATCATAATAGGATTATTTGCTTGTGGCCAGCTGATTAGACGTGTAGATGGTAGACTCGCATTTTCATGTGATATGGGGTCAAGTCTTATCCATTGTAAGGTAAATGTATTTGTGTAGTGCAATGAAGATATCTGATTCAGTGATTTCGGTATCCACGTTATCAGTACGCGAGCTTTCTGACTCTCATGTTTTTGTTTGGATAGTGGAATAATCTTACGAAGCAATAATCGATCTCCTATAGGGTGAAACATAAACAAAAGGAAAATATTGAAGGTGTTGTCTACCTTACAGCATTTCGTCCAAGGTATCTGCACACACTTTAATTATAGATCTCACCTTTGTATTGAAAGTGATTTGGTGTATTTGTGCTGAAAATTTATTGATATAGTTAACAACAACGTTTTGAATTTCGTGTAGTTGTCTTTTGTTTTTCTTATCGCTTGCTACGGGTTATAATTTTTGGGGATTAAAAACATATATTATCCGAACAAAGAGGAATTTTTGTGTTGAAATGCACTGTTATGAAGAGTCTCTATTCGTCTATATATTTCCACTGAAGCTAGAGCTAACCATGAGTATTCACCATTGTCTGCAGGGAGTTGTAAAAAATATATATTCACCGGAATAGCTATGGTTAAGTAGATCTGATTTCGTAGTTTTGGTACTGTGATAAGACGTCAGTGCTTATTAGATCTGTTAACTCGGTAATAGTATCCACACAAACTGACTGCGCTGCAACGAATATCAAAACCTATGGTTACCTTATCCTGAGTGGACCGTTGAAATGTATATATGACTGGATAAGGAATACGACAAATAAATCAGTGAATTTAAATTGGTAAATGAAGCGTATTTACGAGAAATGACTGTGTAACAACTATCTCCTTGAATTCAGAGAGAAAGTTGCTATGGTCCATGCAAGAAAAGTACCTAGTAAGATTAAAACATGAAGAGATACATGGTATCTATGGTCTAGCCATGCAGTGAAGTAACTTAACAACTCTGCTTGGAACTCTTTAAAGGGGCTGAGAGTGAAAATTTACTTGGAGGAGGTCATTTTCTTCTTAAACATCCTTTTAAGCGAGTAAAACAGTACCACATCCTCCTGAAATCACGCCAGTGGCCCAGAGGAAACTTAGGCTGTCATTATGCATGAGTAGACTAGATGATTAAAGAGACTGATCACATGTTTCTTGCCTATACAATTAACACTAGGTGAATACAATAGAAAGGAATGAACACTTTATATATATATATATATATATATATATATATATATATATATACGTAAAGTTCTACCATTTCAATCATAGAGTATCAGTTATTTGGTTGTAAAACCAAATTTTGAAATGGGGGTTACAACATTTAGATGAATATAAAACTAAATCATGTATTATGGAGGAAAAAAGTTGTGTAGTTTATGCTTTTGCTGACCTATAAAAGGTAAATACTATAGCAATTCTTGGCTTTATAATTTTAATTAACGCATATGATTCACTCCCAAAACTTGAGAACATTAGCTGGTCAAATGAAATAATGGAATGACTTCATATCAAGTAATCTTGACTTTATCAGTCACAAAATCCGTTTGCCGATATTAACTGCATGTAAGAATAATTAAATAAATTATTCGGCTACAAAAACCTCTATTTATCATTATAATTTGCTGAGTCAAAATAAACGCATTTCCTAGTTACTATGAATAAGAAGTCAGTATTAGCATCTTCCATGTATCTTTTGTAAAGATGGCAAATGTCATTCTAAGAGTATGGTTTGATGTTTGCCGTCTTCCAAGAAATGTCTACCAGTCTGGAGTTCAAGTGGTGATTCCACTGACATAACATGAGTGAGTAGTTATCAAAAAAAACAGGGTAGTAGATCGTTTATAACTTCATCTTTTTCATAAATTATGTTTCTGTTCAAATTAGTCTGTTCCATATTCTTAACAGTCTTCTTCTTAAAATTTGTTTCCATCTAAAAAGATGGATAAAAGTACAGCAGTTTAGTTGGGACGATTATTCAGAACAGTCTCACCACTTTTATTTAGCAAATACTGAATTACTCTGAAGAAAAATCAGTTTGTATTATCAACAACACTTCATGACCGTGGACCCGAAATTTCTGAAAGTCTTGTTTGAAACTGAAAAGAGACCATTCGAGAGGCTGATAGCATTTAAAACTGAAATTTTATTCTTGGCTGTCACCAACCGCTGAAATATCACAACAAGTAGTGCTCAAAATCACTAGTAGCATAGAAAGTAAATTGAGCAACACACTGAGGTAACACATTTTTCTATATATCTACATATCATAACTTAGGATAACGTTTTCAGGTCATTGTTCCTGTGTTTGCATAGTCTTCGAAATAGATTATCTCTACTTCTAGCAGTTTTCACACAGTACATGTTATTCATGCGAAAAAACTGCTTCCTTTTGCGAAACCTAATATTTCAGACTAGCGATTGTGCTGCGTACGTAGCGACTGAATGTGGTCTAGAAAACTTAAACAAGTATCCTTGAAAGATCGAAATTTTTATAGATCGCTTTACTAGAAATGTAGATAACAAACACTGAAATAATCCGTCGCAAATCGATCTACACTTCAATAACTGAAACATGACTGCATGGAAATAGTGAATCAAAGTTTTTCATCAAGTTAGAACAAACGATCTAAGAGGATTGCAGTTTCACAAACTGTTCATGATGATGGTACTTTCAACCCATCAGTTCTAACCCAAAGGATATAAATATACTTATGTATGTGTGAATAAATAGACGTAGAATGCTCACTTCATTCTTCTCATAAGGTTTTCATCAATCCACTCTGGTTTCTAATCAAATTATCCACTGGTTGAAAATAAAGCGTTCATTGGGGTGGTTGGAAATACTTTACTTCATAAAGTTAATACTGATGAATTTGCCTAGCCTATGACTCAATTATCAGACAACAAATTCTTTCTGATGGTTAGAAAACCATTGCAAAATTTCAGTGAGTCTTATTACCAAAATATCTGTAGTTATCTTAATTTTTCTGCATGATTTGATCAGCACCTCTTCCAGGAAAACTGCGATTAGGTCAAAATTCTTTCATAACCATTCTCCTTTGCGAGTTTTTTTAATACCAATCACTCATCATTAATCTTGTTTTGATTTTCTAAACACTCTGAGACTGTATCCAACTATTCTCTTTTAATGATTAAATAAGACTTTGCGCTCAACTTCTTCCTGGACAGTCGTAACAACTGTGGTCTGGATGTTTATAACCAGTCACCAATTCTCATAATATCCAAATCACTTATTTGATTTCAGTGTGGAACACAATGCATCCGAATTGGGTGGAATTCAGATAGGTACCAAGTTTCTTACTCAGTCTTAAAAGCTGTAACAAACATCAGTAGTGTGTACACCAAAATATCAGTTTTTAATACCCATTAACAAACTGCATTTCGGAGCCACAGTTTTTCTGGTCCCATAAATCTAAATGTATAACCTATAAATATTTACGGACATGGTATCTTTGCGAATGTTCTGCTTTGAAGAAAACAGCAACTAATCAAACCAATCAAAATAAATGAAACTGCAGATGAGTGAATGTTTTTAGTAATTTGCTGATGTCACACTGTGTAAAACATGAACAATAATAATGCGCAAATATCATGTCATTTATGAATGTATAGAAAGCACACCAGAAGGTGATTTTGTTCTAGGCCCACCAGTTTACTTGCTTTCTGACTTCCTCAGTCAGGTATGAAGTATAGGCAAAGCTGGATCAGTGGCGTGCATCTAAGCTGTATGTATAATAATAATGGTGAAACCCATCAAATATGAGTCAAGTTCATCATGCTGCAACAGTGACGCTATTCGTACACAAAGTTAATACAAGAATGAAATTTTGATTGCGTTTCCTATCCTAGTCGATTGGCTAACTACGCTGAAAATTTAAACAGATACAAAGATTGGCCTTTGAAATGTATTTAGAATAGTGGCCTCGAAATGTTAATGTTTTACAACACTGAATATGGTTAGAAATAAACAGCGATTTATTTCAGAGTACCAAGCAATATGATGTTTCTATAAATATGCTTATCTCAATTGTAAAACGCAGTCTGAGCAAGTATGTTCTGCTATTTCTCATCAGATCGTATAATTACACACAGAAACCACCCAACCCAGAGATTTGATATCATTATAATGAAAAGAAAGCACATTTGTGTATATAAATTAGAGGATAACCTTTAAAGTGATGATAACAAAAGCATAATTTTGCAAGAGATTATGAAATCCTGAGAATGTTTTTTTTAATTCTTATTTTCCAGTTGTTATAACGAGTCTTTTGGAATGAAATCCCGTATTGATTTTCTGCTAAAAAAGCTGTGGCTTACACAGCAAAACGCTCAGAAATGTCTCGTTTTGATTTTCTAAAGACGCTAGAATTATCCTGGTTGTATTGTGTTCTCTGAGCTGGATTGTTTAATCGTGAAGCTTTCATCGCCTTGCTAGACGACATCATCAGCACCAACTTCAGTATGAAAGCTTCACAAGTAAACAACCCAGCTCAGAGAACACAATACAACCTAGACCATCCACCTGAGCTACAAATATTCTCCATTGTATATCATTTATTGCTTTCAGAGGAATAAGAAATGTGCACATTTTAAATGATAACGACATGCCAGTACTCACTTATTCCTCCTTCTTCCGCTAGATTCAGTATGATTTCTGCTTGCTCATTATTCTTGTTTTCTGAATGACCAACTAAGTTTAATTGAAAACGCAGGCGACCATTGAAATAACAAACTTCATTCCCGTCGAAAAAGGTTTCCAGTCGGATTTTCAACACATTTTCATAAAACCAATCATCTGATTGCATAATTTTACTTTTAACTAGGTTTTTATCATTGAATGGGATGAATTTCATGTAGCTGGTAAAACGATCCAGAGGAAATGAAATGTTCATAGGGCCATTGAACCATATTTTATCGAATATCAACTATGAGAAAAGCAGATTGGCAGATAATGGAAGAAAACGTCAACGTAATTTTAAACACTAAAAACAATGTGCCTTCGCTTTAGTTAATATAAGTTCTTCCCTTACAATAGGTAGACTGAGTAATTAAAAACAGAAATAGGCACTTATTTTATAAGATGCTGTACCTTTTTCTGTAAAACACCGGTACAAAAATGTTAAGTGCTTTAGTGTAATGAAGCTGACCAGCCTAAATTAGTCACTTCCCTATCCTTATCCTAATGACTGTATCGTCAAGAAAAACTTGTTAGCCGTACTGAAAAAAGCATGCGAAATGCAAGAAAACATTTTGCAAAAAGGCATTACCTTTATCATCTGTATTTCTGTAGACATGATATAATCTATTAAATAATCCTTTTCCAGTGAGACAGCAGTACATGAAGTCACCAACAAGACATACAACGGCCCACATACCGACAGAGACTGATCACCCTGATTCAAACCAATCAACAGCTGGAAGTGACAAGTTCTGTTATCAAACTACGCCAATTCGGCAAAAAGTGACTATCACAGCTAAGAAGCCTAGTAGATAATGCCTTAAAGTTTTAAGTGCTGGGTTCTGTGTTTGAATCCCAATGGGAACCTTGCCACTCATTGGGATACAACTACATCCAGCTGACGAGTTGCAAATGGGATGAAAAATATCCTGGATTCCACTGTTAGTCCTTATTCATCCCTAATATCGGAATAAAATCACTGGCCACTATATGGCACCTGTAAAGGACCTTGCATACCAACAGAAGCCCTTTAATTTGGAACAAATCAACTAACATTCTCATGTATTTACATATACTAATATTAAAAAAGCATCACTAGGTATATGCAGATTTTGAGAATCAAGTTCATCTGTTATTAGTTTAGGCGAAACAAACTATATACTACTGAATTATCAAGAATGTTGGCTAATCATCTATTCTATCAAGTAAGTCAAATGTTTTGCTGTAAACATTTTATTTACTGGTAGGAAACAGAGTGAAAACCCACAGCTGTACCCACCTAACTGCATGATTCTTATCCTGTATTGTGTATTTTGAAAAAAGGTGGCTGAATTTAACTACAGGTTAATTTAAAATGATTACATTTTCAAGAAACCGGTCAATCTGGCTTTTGACAAGGTTTGTGTCTTAAACAGTGACCTATGCTTAGGAGGTGAGTGCTCTATGGCTTTGAAAGCAACCACTTCCTGATGATAGTCATATGAAAAATTTCCGATTTAGTCAGAGGATTGGAGTATATGCATAGCCATTCAGTAAAACATTCAACATTAAAGCTTTAACTTACATAGTAACCTTGCGGTTGTTCTCCACACTCAAGACCCATATTTTCCTTCCATTTCAAAATAATCCATTCATTTATACGTGAAGCTTTTAAGTTATATGGAGTACTACTGACCTTTATAATCCAAGCTGGAAGCTTTGCTTCCCCATTGTCACTTACTTGTCTGTTTATTAAAATAGGTCTGACAACAGTCTGTGGACCTAGTAACCATTTATTGGACATCCCTGTGTGTATACTCGCTGCTCGCACACTCACTGTATATTTACTTCCATGCTTCAAATTATTGATGACATGCGTGAAAGCTGTACTATCATTTATGAATACCTGAAGATAACTTAATCCACAGTGGCTCTGAATGGTTTGAATATTGATTGTTTCATTTGCATTGTACATGTGATCATGACTGGGATAGGCTGTAAGTGAAGTGAATTTGTGTTCATTTTGATCTCTTGAATTGTGATTAAATAACCGCCAGGTAAACCACTCCAATCCTGTTCAGACAATGGCTGATTTCCATAAAATGAGAAAAATTCGAAAACTAAATTTTGCATTCTTCAAATCTTTGAATCATAAGAATGTGAGGTCAACAGATTTACTTTCTATGACATTTACATATATTCAAATGTAACAGAGGAGCAAATTTAAGAAAACTGTTTGCCCAACACCGTGTAATTCATGTCAGAAGTATATAATCGTCAAGGGGAACTTTCTAGCCCAAGGTGTTATCTATGAAGCCTTCAATCACCCGTGGTGTCAAGTTACGTGTTAACAGCCTAAACATCTTTTGAAGTAAGTGACAGTTGTTTGTACGAGGTGAGTTGAAATCCCAGTCGCTTCTGTCTTAGTCAACCAGAAGCTGTATCCCGTATCACTTATTGTTTATAACTGTTAATAATATTGACCACGATCAAATCGTAACTCATTCCTTTCATGAGAACTATGGAATATGTCACATGTGGTGCACCTCCTGAATTAGGTGTTATGCGTTTTATAGTGGGACCGTAATGAGGACACTTTGAATAAAGCACATGCCTAAAAGACATGGAACTTTACGTGCAGTGCTGTTCATAGTAGTAACTATCACTCTACTTCAAAATTAGTAAAGTATATAAACAAGGCACTGACTGACGTTTTGTTAGCATAAGACGCTAAGTCGATGACTACGTTAATCATATAGTAGATGCGGATACCTCAGTAATTGCAGACAAGCGAGTCATCGGTTTTGTCATATTGCAATCTATTTACTAGCCAGCAGTGAAATCCAGGACATGCATTTCTTCTTAATCGGAGCTTGCTAACTAGGTATACCACTGAAACTTGAATCCGGTATACAAAGCTTCAAAAGCCAAAGCGTTATCCGCCGACCCAATTGGGTACGAAAGCCACCACAAGCTAACAACAAAAAACTATAAGTATCAGTAATCAACAACTATCACGCGTTGCACAAGTAGATAGCGCTTTGAGATTTGAAGCGATGGGTAATGCATTAGAGTCTCAGTGGGAACAACATCTCTAACTGGAAGGCAGACACACCCAGCTGATGAGCCTCAAACACGACGAAACATACTTTCGGGATTCCAATTCTAGCCACCAAATAGACAGCAGTATAACCAGTAATCAGGTAGTATCGAGGCATCTGCATAGGGGCCAATCTGCCAACAGAGGTCAAGCAGTTCCATCTAGTATAACAAGGCAAGATTACAAGTATCAATCAACATCAGTTTTTCTATTTCTATCAGTTCATCAGGAACTCTGAATTACTTTCATATGATGAACAGTAAAGAAGAAGCTAACACTATGGGATTATCAAAACTAAAGTTTCATCCTAAGCGTACAAATGTTAACGTTTTCCCCCAGTTGCCTCATTCGATTTCACGAGCGAACTGTTCTGGAAAAGATCTGTTAACACGATGGGTCTGGAAAAAGTTGTCTTAAATCAACCAAAGATGCCAGTTGATACGCTGTCTAACACACCTGAAACTGAAATTTTTTCAGAAATACTCACTGAACAGATGAGCAGTTATCGGACCTGCAAATAAGATTTTTTATAAAATAACAAGAAACGTAGGTAGGTTGACAACTATATAAATATGAGCATCCGAGGTTCCATTCGTGGTAAATAGGACTTTTATGATCCTGCTTAAGCAGCAGTAAAGCAAAATATCGCCAATATTGGTGAAAGCGAATAAAGACAATGAAATATTTTGTAGACTCAAATATATACGTAGGAAGAATTAAACGAATGTCACGATAACTTTACCGTGCTAATTCCCTTAACACCTATGTTGTACCATCAGATTCTGCAAACACAAACACAAGCCTGGTTAGTACTGTGTCTAACCCATAAGTATAGATAACAAACCTAGTTAGGTAAAACTGTTCAATCACACAATGGATTTAGTAGTAAAGTCACTAAGTCCTTAAAATCTTTATTTAATAACCTCTGTGTGAACATAGCTAAATGCAGCAGGAAAGAGAATATGCAAACCTATGCAGTGGTCGCTGTGCTCTAAGACAGTCTTCTTTCAAAGTCATTTGCAAGGAAAAGGCAAACATTTTGAAACTAGTGAGTATTAGCTACCTCAACACACCAGAAGCCCTGGCATTTCACCAATACAAGCCTACTGTTTGTGTTCAAAAAAAGGTTTATTCAGTCTCTAATTTTGCCTTGAATCTAATCTCCCTAAGATAGCTTACTTATTTGTGTTTTTATTCACCATGATCCTATAAAGAATTGTTGATAACTTTATATTGAGCCTTTAGCTATTGATAGATAGATAGTTTACTGTAACTATGATTACAATGTACAGCTTTTGAAAATGATTCGTCGAAAATAAAATTTTCTTCGCTGAAGTATCCTTTATTAAATGTAACAAGATTTAATTTTTTCAAAGTTGATGCCATTTTGATTATAACAATATGCGCGTACTTGTACTGAGAATCACTGGCTGCAGATAAGGAACGTTGTGCTTTAGATCATATAACCACCATATTTATATATGTGATTGACATTAGCTTAAGAAGCTTATTTATCAAAATTACGACAAAATCTATCAGCCAGATATGTGCATGCATCCACGTGACAGTTTCCTGTATGCATAATAGTCTCAAAAAATCAAACATTTCAGCGAAATGTATCCTGTTTTTAGTTGAAAAATGAAGTAAATCCTTTGAAGTGAAAAGCATTAGCGCATCTATCTTACTGTCTCACTACCTTACCTATCTGGTGCAAAGTATGTTGCGTACTGGGGAAAATATCTCAGGATTGTAAATTCAAGACCAGTTTTACAATGACAAAAACCTGAATTGAGTCTATCAGAACAATAACATTGAACTACTTTATCATATCTAAGAGGACATATGCTAGACTACTTTTGTGAAATCAGTTGCTGCTAGTAAATTGTAGCTAGTAAGCTGCTATAAAACATCATCTTAGCTGATGCCACGTATCACTGAAGGCCATGTGTTCATTGGAGTGACAAGATAAACCAGAACAGATATTCGCAGCCAGTTTCTTGTGGTTAGCAACATCAGTCTGGATCGCATAAAAACAGCAATGATAGGCTTGTCTCAGAAAAAAGTAAACCATAAATGCATAGGGCAAGAAGGTGAAATTCATATATGCAATCTTTTCCCTTTCCAACAATGAGAAATATGTGTTCTTACCTGCCAAGTGATTTTCATTTCGTCGGAGCTCATAGTCTGTGCATATACAACAGATGGTGGCGCTTTCGGAGGACTGCTACCAGTAGAAAACCATTTAGACGGTTCTGAATGTGACACTTTTGTTTCAGCTATGTGTTCATAGGTACCGAAAAGCAAACCAATAGGTTGCCATATCTCAATTCGGTAATTGGTATAACTTGATAAATTGAATAATTTAAATAAAAATGTAACTTGAGTTCTATTCATTGCCTGAGAATCAGAAGCTTTAAATGTAGAAAGCTGCGGTGGTGAGGTTAAGTTGTACTGGTGTGGCATAATGATTCGCTGAAAACAAGACAAGTAATTCAGAAGAAGAAATGCAAAAGTAAAGGCAAATAAAGTAGTTACTGCGAATTGAAACCACCGGAATTATGCATGATTCTATAACTTTATCTAAGACTACAAGGTGTATGAATAAGAATAATTTTTGCTATACATATATCAATACCTTAATACATTACCTCGACTACCTTGCCGCCCGAAAAGTGCCACTTCAAAGTGGAGATCCACCGAGGAGGACAACGCTGTGAATGCGGTTCCCACTTTTCGGCAAAGAAAAATAATTAGAAGCAAAGCGATCAACCATGGAGCTAATTCGCGTAATCATTGATTTTTAAGTACTGCACACAATAAGCTTCTCCCACCCTTGTGGATAGTTGACTAACTACAGCCAGTTATATTACACCAATATAGATGACTTTTAACCTAGATCAGACACTGATATTTAGTTCACAGATTACGGGCGTAATGTTCAATGGAATGACAATCGAATATTCACTTGGAGTGTATGGAAACGGATTTCCAATCTCGTAAGTTGTCCAACTGAAACTCACATAGGCTTTTCAGTCACCTACTAAAATCTACCTTTCAATGACTCTTAGTAGGTAATGCAAGCCACCTGAAAAGTATTTGATTCTTAATAACATCCTCGTTTAGTGAATCGAAAAAAATCAACCTTTAGAGTATCTTTGTGCCCAAACCTGACATATGTGAGTAGTTGTTTCAACTAATTATTAAAAAGTTGATTTTCGAATGAATTTTTTACCTGTTGGAAGACAAAAGACGTGTCTTTTTTGAAGGGCACCAGAAAACAAAAGTAATTCTAGGCTCAGAAGTCTACCTTTGAATGATAACTGTGTATCTGATCAGGAATCAGGAAGCATAAGAACTAGGAAGATATACTATCAGGAATACCAAAGTTTCGCTACCGGGAAAGAATTTTTTGTTGAAAAATGTGAATGACTGATGACTGTTGAGTCAAGATGATCTATTTTATTTCCAGGGATGTTGATCTGAAGACGTTCATCAGCCGTAAAGCATATGGAAGCAAATGTCTGAATGTACACCCAAAAACACCTTAAATTGCGTATGCTATGTTAATTTCATGGGAGTATTTCACACTTTACTTCAATCAAGCGTGCTGAATTCATTTGACTGAACTGGTTGGTTCGCTTTTACTTAGGCGAACTGACCTTCTTGTAACTTAATGATGAATAAAGTTGGAAGAAAAACCTGATTAGGTGGCTTCATTGACAGTCGGACTGTTGTTCCTATTTTACAATTCCTCTTGAGTTGACTTGAAATACGAAGACCTGGCTGTTAGCCAGTGTGATATTTATGAATGGAAACTGAGGCCTGGTCAATAGTTTAGTCACTTATTCTTTTCAATTTATCGCACGACCTAGAAATCTAAGGATCTGTGACTCATGGTCTACCGTAACCAGGTTTTTGGTTAAGTTCCAATCATTGCCTCAATAAATGCTAAGTTTATTTTCTGTTGGATTTGCTAAATTATGAGATCAATTTTCATGTATCAAAATTAACTTTAGCTTTAACATGCGTAGGAGATTTTACCACTGGAATATAGCGAAAAACAAATCTACATACTTAGAAATAATATAGTATCACCACTGTCATTATCTAAAATATCCCACTATTATTCATTAATCGGAGCATAAATGCATAAAAGTCATTAATAATTCTAGCACTCAACCAGAGTAGGAAGAGATTAACGGAATAAACAAAATAAAAGAATATAGTCAGTCAACCAAGAAAAACGAGTCCACTAGATAATTAATTCAACATAATGAACCCTATAGATGAATGTATATCACTGATATCTCTATACTGCGTTGAAACAAGAATGTCTAGCTTGCTACAATTTCAACCATTGTCACCTGCAAACAAATCAAGCAGAAAATGTTTATTGGGTTACGGTTATTGCCGGAGTAAGCTAGTTAATCGATTAAAGGGGAAGATTTGTCACCATTCTTGTTTCAGTAAGTACCCAATGATCAGATGGACTTTATTTACTCAATTCATCAAACTGAAGAACTAGGAATAAACAAAGTGACAGACTGTCAAGTAGACAAAAGCAAGTACAGTATGATTGCTCAGTCTTTGCCGAGTGAATTACAACTATTAAATTGCTGGAGAAGAAACAAAATTAGAAAATTTTAATCACCCATTGCCATGAATCAATTTGAACGTCTCCATTCATAGTCTGATAACCATTAGAAGGGATTTCTTGGATTTTCACAGCCCATTTACTTTGTTCAATTAGCTTGATTATTTGTAACAAATCATTTGCTGCACGGTAAGACTCATTGGAGTAGAATAACTGATTTTTATTATTGGTTAGAAAGTAAACATTTTCCGACGTTATCTCGAGTTCAGTTGAAACTTCTGCATCGTGTCCCTAAAATAAAATCGAAATACATTTCAACAACTACCGGTATTAAAATTTTATACCTTTACAAACAACTTTACAGTAAATGTATAAAAAAGGACTAGCAGGAACATGGAAAAGGTAAGAGGCTTAATTATAAGCATTATTATATGACGGATAAGAAGTGTTGCTTTTAAACGCATTTCATAGGTGCGAAATGAGAAATATTCAGTCTCTACCATAATTCTATCATAAATCAACGCTGCTTTAAAAACATTTGGTTCATAGTTGTCCTTAACTCCAAGATAATATTCTAGCAAGACGTCATATTTATCCAGATATTTTTTAAATAAAACTCTCGACGAATTTGTTTTTCCCCCAAAAGCAAGTCGAAATTTTGCATAAGATTAACAAAATTAAGGCAGATGAAAGTTCCAAAAAGCGTGGTAAGAGAAAGCACTATTTAAAAATTTCGGTCTGGAAACTGCTATTTATCAGTATCTTGTGGGGGAAATAATAGTAAAAACTTCGTTCATATTAGCGAAAATGTAAACAAGCATCGGTCAAGTACCTGATTCCTAGTCATATGCGTTCGTTTTACCTTTCGAGACAAGGATAAATTATATATATATATATATATATATATATATATATATATGAAATAATTAAATGCGAAGGTCACTCAGCCCAGAACCCTGAAGTCTTGAAGCTCAGTCACATATGCAGATGTTTTTAGCTTCAAGAAAGAGCAGCATGCCGATTCTCCTAACTGTCACTTGATCTACAAATGCCTTCACTTCGTGATTACCGCTCTATCTTAAAGGTATTTTCGTTGTTATTACATATAAAATTGCACTAATAAAAAACGAATTCATGCACCTGTAGCATAAATTGAATGCAACACACTTTTGCGTGAGTCCTACATTTGAAGAGTGAAGGGATTAAAGGCTCACTGGTAACATATTTGCATCGAGACCTGGAGATCCTAGGTTCAACCCTTGACTTGGTTATAGGCGCGTACTGCTAAGTAGTCTCATACTACGACAAAACAAATGTCTAGCGCTTGTAGATTTTCAATGGTTTCCTAAAAAATGTGAGCCTGTGAGGAATATCACCCTGAAAAAGACTTGTACTTGCTTCTCTTGGGCATATTACTTAAAAGAAGAATAAAACATTTCATAAATCTGCTTATTAGTAGTCACTTTAACAACACCAGTATCCGAGTTTGCGTATTTTCTGACTTCCTCATTACAACATGGGATTGATGAGATACCTGTGTATTGAAAGTGGAAGAAACTTCTCGGAAAGTTGTTGTAGAAGACAAGTAACCTACTGAAATCTTGAGACGGAAAACATTCATATAAAAAGAAAAATCCAAACTCAAGAGATAAAGCTAAATCACTACAGGTTATGGGTTTTGCCTTTTTACCTGCGGTATGATTTAGTATAAGGCAATAACTAATCGAACATCTAGATCCTTTGATAAATTTGAACAAAGTAAGAAGGACCAGATGCATCAGAAAATGATACCGTTTTCGAATGCTCTTCAACAGCATATAGCTTAAATTTGAAATAATTATTAGTACATAAAACAACTGAAGCTTAGGAAATCAGTGATCTTTAGTTTTACATCGAAATCAGTGCCAGTTTATATCACACGTAAAAGAATTTCTCAGAAGTGTGAGAAACGAAAGAAGAGAAAAAGTAATACCAGCCACCAGAGTATACAACATGCAAAGAAATCGCCTTCAAAAGACTGAGACCAACTCTCTAAAAATAAAGTCCATCTTGATTTGCTCAATACGAGATATAGTGGTCATATGAGCAACTCACATACCTGAAACAATTAGTCCCTTTAATAAATTTCGATAACGCTATTAGAAGACGAAGATTATCTGAAGAATGAGCAATACCTTTCGAATAATCTGATCACACACTTACTTATCAAGTCAATTTATATATGAAAATGAAAGGAAAATAAAATGTCGAATATAATGAATATGAAAAGATTATGACACTAGTCTTGGTAATATAATCAGATAAGGACTACCAAGGTATATTAAGTGAAACAACAAATTATTTTTGTACTCACAGCGGGGGATTAAGTTTACGAATGGCTAACGCTTCGACAAACTTCAGTATGCGCCCCTGATTATTCCTGTGTAGTATCGTGCAGGCTGTTTTCCTATTAACCCTGTGATTCATTTCAGTGATGTATTTTTCTATAGATGACGATGGATGTCTGTCACCTGCACTTATCAGTGTTTGTGTGTTGAATTGCCTTTCAAGTTATTTAGGTATGCCTTCACCCAACCTAGTCTGCATGTGTGCCTACACATACATGTAAGTTGGTAAACAGTGAGATGTGACATAATCATTTATGCGAGGTTGAGGTTTGTGGCGAAGCAGGTGTTTTGTCGTTTCAACAACAATAAGCTGAGCTGCATAGTATGTTTTACGGATAACAGATTTTAATCTGTGCTTCAATATCATACTACTCGTTTCCCCTCTGCATGGTACTTTAAGAAATATGTCTTTCTTCTGAACTGAGGAAACTATAGGATTCGAGGTCAGCTGTTTTTTGCAACGGTTTACAAACTGTAATGGATAACCGTTTTCCGTTAGAGTGTCTGTCAGAAATTTATCCTCATCATCCATCGCATCAGATGTACTAATAAGTTGGATTCCATTGAATAGGCATCTCACTAAGCCCCTCTTATACTTTATCGGACAAGAGATGTAGAAATTCAAATGCTATCCTGTCCAAGTAGGCTTCCTATATATTGGTCGTCTGATGGATCCCCTGGCGCAAGAGTATATCAAGAAATGCAAGCTGATGCTCTTTTTCTTCCTCATATGTCAGACTGATATGATCTTGGGACGGTATTAAGACTTCTTAACAAACTCTCGGCGTCCTCATCTGTGTCACATATTACAAAGATATCATCCACATACCTTCTATAGAATGTGACATTGGTGATTGAATCTTGAGCCATTAGCTCAGTATGTGGCACATATACATCAGCTTATAACAGTCCTAATGGACTCCCCATGGCCACACCATCAATTTGACGAAAGTGTTCACCTTCGAAAGTGAAATAAACCTTATCAGTACATAATAAAATGAGCTCTTTCAAATGAATTGAAAAAATATGGAAGGAAGGATAATTCGAAGAAATATAGTCGCAAAAAATGTTAACTGTCTTCGTTAGAGGCACATTCGCAAACAAACAGTTAACATCAAAAGAATACATTTTCTTATCTTTGACATTCCTATCAGTAAGATAATCAACAAGTTCAAACGTATCTTTGAGTGAATACTTACATAAACCATTATGAATCAAACTCAGTAATTTGTCTAACCATCTCACCAATTTGTGTGTAGGAGACTGACAGATTGATAGTATTCGGCATAGTGGATTATTAATTTTGTGAGTTTTCTGAGGTCCGTATAGATTTGTGAAATAAGATCCCATGGGTTTCAAGGAGCTGAACTCAGCTTTAGCAATAACATCCATATTAAGGAGTTTAACTAGACTAGTTGTTACTTTTCCTTCTAATTTTCTCGTATCCTCAGACGCAGTATCTGCCAGGAATTTACTTTCTTCACAAAGAATAGAAAGCATTTTATTTTTCCAGTCTACTTTGTTTATCAACACAACATCTGATCCATTTTCAGAGATTTGATTTTCCAAACATGAAATTGACCTTCAATGCGTAACTTCCACACAATTCAAATCGCTAAGTTACACAACAAACTGAGTTGACAGCAAGAATGCCAAGACTCAGTGGTTACACTGAGATTTCAAGTGGTGATTTCAATTAGAAAGAAGTCATACTAACAGCTTCATATAGCTTCGAAATGTGTCGCGAGTGCCTAGTCACCATCTAACTCGTAGGACACTGTTAGCCGAGGTAGGTTCATGCTAAATAAATAAACAAACCACAAAACCAATTACAATGAAACATGCCATCGGTTCAAGAAGTCTGTAACCACTTGTCTGAGCTATGTAGGGAAATACAAACCTCCAGATTAGGCTCCACATGATAACCGAACTCGGTGGTCGGAATCTCCAGACGATTTGGCTAAAAATCTGATACAGATGCATCAATGTCATATTTTTCATCTAGCTTGTTAGGTAGCTTTATGAGACTGTTTCCCTACCTGTTTCTGTCTTTTCATTACCTTCTATAACGTTTGACTGCCTTCATTCTTGTTCCTCTATCTTTCATCTTGTTGCTCTCTACTTTGATGTTCTGATATACTTTATGGCAAGGTGGACTGTACTTAGTAATATCAGGTTTCATACCGATTTTCAGTGACTAACAGTTTGAAGTCAATGAGTTCTCAAAAAATGTTCAATCAACTAACCGCCTAATTAAGTTAAAATGGTAATCCGTTTAATGTGTTTGATATGGAAGAATAAAAGGCAATAAAGTTAATTAACCTTGCTTTTTAACTGATTAGTTTGTTGTTCTAATGGAGAGAAAATCAAAAGTAGGAAGTACGTTTGGCTTTTTTCTTTTCCATTACTTTTGAAAAATAAAAGATAAATTGTAGTTTATGCCTCGAAAAATATCTCAGCAAATGTTTGTTTTCAGATCTGAAAGTATAAGCACACACATAAACAATGGAATAAGTGTTTAAAAACATACTTATGCAAATATCATACACTCGGGTTAAAACGAATTGAATTTTATAACGGGAACATACACGAAGTTTTCAACATATATTCATCAGCAAACTTATTGACACAAATGAAACTCCGGGATAATGAAGTTTATGTGAAATTACCCAAGTTCGTGACAGGTTGAAATAAATTATTTAAGCTGACTGAAATTAGAAATTCAACCACTAAGACTTTTAGGATGGTTGTTTGCTGATTTCTAGTACATTTTCATAGTTCATTTCACCTTTCGTCCAATCATGAGACTTTGTTGTCACTACTGGGGATTCTTTTGAAAATCCTGTTGACAAGCCAAACATTTTGGGAGCTAAGAAACTGCTGGGCTATGAGAACTGTCAAGGT